ACATCAACCATGGCAGCTGCAAACGTAAGCCTATTAACTCACATTATCATCAACATATCAACTTTTACATATACTAAAACAAATTTGTGTCAATGGTTTTGTGTAAACAGGAAGAAAATATAGGGAGCCTTAAAGAACAAATAGCAAAAGTATTTGAAATCTCACTAAAAGTCACCATCCCTGAGGAGCCAGAGGTGGTGCCTTTAATCGCCGCCTGTGCCAAAAAAGAATTTGGTGATTACCAATGGTATATAAATATAATTACAGTATTTTTGTAGCATCATCATCATTATCTTTTTTTGCATATTTTTCTTGTACTAATTTAGAAATTTCATTTGGTAATAATAGCAACAATGCCATGAGCTTATGGGCTAAAATAAAAGGCAAGGGTACTGATTTCAAAGGTCCACAACCAGTTGGACAGGTAATATTGTTTTTTTTGTTTCCAAATATTAAACTAATCTTAGATACTTTTCTAAATTCTAACATTGTTATATGATTTTTATTATATGTAGGCAATCATGCGAAATCTTCCAGCATCTGACATGATAGAATCATGCTCCATAGCTGGACCTGGTTTTGTAAATGTTAAATTATCAAAGCAATGGATAGCTAAGGTAAATTTCTCCCTGCATTCCATTTTTCAACCTATTATTAATCTTGCTTACTTACTTTTACGGTTTTACCCCTGCAGTGCATTCAAAAGATGCTGAAAGATGGTATTGATACATGGGCACCAAAGCTTCCTGTGAAAAGGGCAATTGTGGACTTTTCATCTCCCAATATCGCAAAGGAAATGCATGTGGGACATCTAAGATCTACCATTATTGGAGACACTTTAGCCCGTATGCTTGAGTACTCTAAAGTTGATGTTCTTAGGAGAAATCATGTTGGTGATTGGGGCACTCAGGTATAATATTTTTTTGATTACATGTTTCACTTATCAAATCTTTTTTTGATTACAACAAAATGTTTAATCTAATCCCTTTTTTTTTCCTTTCTTTTACAGTTTGGAATGTTGATTGAGTTCCTATTTGAGAAGTTCCCTAGTGGGGAAGTTAATGATCAAGCCATTGGAGAGCTTTGAGGTGAACAAATTTATTTACATATTCCTTTTTATATATATCATATTGATGGGTATTTTATCATTTGACTAAAAGTCAAACACTTTTCTTGAACTTTGATTTTGATAGGTGTTTTACAAGGCATCAAAGCAGAGATTTGATAGTGATCCTGAGTTCAAAGAGAGAGCCCAGAAGGCAGTTGTCAGTCTTCAGGTCAATAACCAACTTTTTAGCATATTTTATATTTCTTGATATAAAATAATAATAATAATAATAAATTAAAAAAAAAATAGGGTGGTGAGGAAAAATTCCGGAAAGCATGGGCACAAATCTGTGAGATAAGTCGAAAGGGTTATGAAAAAGTATATCAACGCCTTGGAGTCCACTTAGAAGAAAAGGTATTATTATTATTATTTTTTAATTCTCTTGATATAAAATTCGTTATATTTATTTCCATTATTTTCAGGGTGAAAGCTTTTATAATCCATACATTCCTGGGACTCTAGATTTGCTGAGGGAAAAGGGATTGATTGAAGAAAGTGAAGGAGCTCAAGTGATCTTCATTGAAGGAAAAAAGATCCCTCTTATTGTTGTGAAAAGAGATGGAGGTTTCAACTATGCTTCAACAGATCTTGCAGCTTTGTGGTTAGTTTTTGTCTTTGAGGGCATTTTCGTCTTTTTACACTTTTATAAAACATTCTCTTTTTCATATCTAGGTATCGGCTTAATGAGGAAAAAGCTGAATGGATTATATACGTGACTGATGTAGGCCAACGAGAGCACTTTGAAATGTTCTTCACTGTAAGTCAACTTTACACAGTGTTAGTTAGTACTACACTACTACAGGGGTAAAATGGTCAATAAAAGTTTTTTTTTTTTTTTTTCAGGCTGCTAAACGTGCAGGGTGGCTACCAAATGATGAGAACAAATACCCGAAAACAAGTCATGTAGGATTTGGACTTGTTCTTGGTGATGATGGAAAGAGATTCAGAACTCGAAGCACTGAAGTGGTTAAATTGGTTGATTTGCTTGATGAAGCTAAAACTAGGTGTAAAGCTGCACTTGTGGAACGAGGTATATGACTGTCTTTTGATGATGATGATGAAAGGGGTATTTTTGTAATTTTGTCTTTTTGTTAAAATATCTTCTGTTATATCAGGCAAGGCTGCTGAGTGGACTGCTGAGGAGCTTGAACATACTGCTGAAGCAGTTGGATATGGTGCTGTTAAGTAAGGCTTTCTTTTTGACTTAATGCAGAAAAATTTGGTTAGTATAGAAGTTTTTACAAATTTGCCCTTGTTTATTTTTTGTGTTGTTGACAGGTATGCGGATTTGAAGAACAATAGATTGACTAATTACACCTTCAATTTTGATCAGATGCTTAATGATAAGGTGCTCTTTCTTTTTTACTTAATGAACTTAATGCAAACATGGTTTATTGATTTTTTGGGTAAAGCTATAAATAAGGGTTTCATTTTTTCCTTACATTATATCAGTTAAGATGTCATTTTCTTTAATATTTTTTTTAAATGTTATTTAGGGTTAATCTCATAAAAGACCTTATATTTTGTGTTTTTTCCGGTTTAGATCTCAAATTTATTTTTTGACTGAAAAAGACATTGTATTTTTTTTTTCCGATTTGTCCCTTTTAGTCATTTTTTTCCAAAAAAAATTGAAAATTTGAGCGTTTTTTGAGAAAAACTAAAAAAGTTGAGGGTTTATTTGGAAACATTTAGAAGGTTGAGGGTTTTTTTTTTGGAAAAAAAATACAAAGTTGAGGGCTTTTTCGGAAAAAATGAAAAAATACAAGGTCTTTTTCAGGCAAAAAAATAAATTTGAGGTTTAATCCGGAAAAAACACAAAATATAAGGTGTTTTTGAGCGAAAAAAAGTTGTAAAATGTGAGGGGCTTTTCAGGAAAAACCAAAAAAGTTGAGGATTTAAAATAAAGATGAGGTTTAATCTGGAAAAAACACAACATATAAAGTCTTTTATGAGATTAACCCTATTATCATTTATTTTTGATTTTCTTATTTATCTAAACTTTTAGTACTGTTATTTTTTCTTACTTAATTACACTCTTTGATAAATAGGGAAACACTGCTGTGTATCTTTTATATGCACATGCTCGAATATGTTCAATTATTCGCAAATCTGGTAAAGACATTGAGGAGTTGAAAAAGGTAAGATTTTTATTTCCTTTTCTTTCAACTTTTTTTTATAAAATTTTTAATTAAATATAATTATTGTTCAATGGTGACAGGCTGGACAATTAATATTGGAGAAAGATGAAGAACGCAACTTGGATTACATTTGCTCCAGTTTGCTGAGGTATTCCTTCATCCTACTTTCATTTTTTTTTTCAATTTATTAAAGCATTATATATATTATCAAAATTTGTTGTTATTAATTTATAATAATAAACAAATGAATAAAAGTACATTGTCTTTTCAGGTTGTGGAAGAGGCGTGCACAAATCTGTTACCCAATGTGTTGTGTGAATATCTTTATGATTTATCCGAGAAGTTTACCAGTTTTTACTCTGAATGCCAGGTATGCATTTTTGTTATAATCTTTTTTTTTTTTTTTTTAAATTATTTTTTTAAATTTTATATAAAAATTTTATGGTAGGTTGTTGGGTCGGCTGAGGAAACAAGCAGATTATTGTTGTGTGAGGCAACTGCTGTCGTTATGAGGAAATGTTTCCATCTTTTGGGGATTACTCCTGTCTACAAAATCTGATCTCTAATTTTACAATTTGGACCCTGAAGAATTCCGTTGAAGCTCAATACACCCTTGAGAGTTGTAAACATTTATATGGGTAGTCATTTTTCTGATTTTGGAGTCGGGTTTTGGACTTTTTCCCATGGTTATTAGAATATGATTGTAACACAAGTTTATGATGTAAAGACCAAAACCATATGCTAAACTAAAAAAATATTGTTTTACAACGTATTAGTCACTTTTATTTATTTATTTATTTATGTCGTATCTAGGCAGCAAGATGATTTATAGCCAATAATTCGTTAAAATATCTAGGCAGCAAGATGGTGTGCACTTGGTGCATCTTCAACTTCTTTGCTGTAAATCATCTGCTTTGGTTTGTTGATTTAGTTCTTGGATGGATTTTGTTGACTATAGTAACGAATTCTCTACTTGGTTCCTGAACATATATTATTTTTTTATTTAAATAAATAAATAAAATTGGCTTTTTACATAAATCGTATTTTAGAAGTTTTGGTTTATGATTTTTAAGAGAGAACTCTTTTGAAGTTGATGATGTGTTGTCTTTAGAATTTTGTTTGTAACAATTGGTATAATATGTTATGATTTAGGCAGTTCCTTCAACGTGTTCGATAGAATTGTGGTTAATGGTTTATTACATAAGATTGTAACTTCTTTTTCTTGTGGTAAGATATATGATAGTAAGAAGAAGCCACAAGGATTAATATTCACGAACAATATTGTAAAAATATTCATAAAAGACTTTTATTCAATAATTTTGGATATTGTTCTTTGCTATATATGATCATAGAAGAAAAAAGCGAAACCCCAAATAAAATATAATAAAGTTATTGTAAAGTTCAAATTTTTAGAGTAATTTATGCATTTTTTTAGAGTAAATTACACGAATGGTCCCTATGGTTTAGGGTAATTTGCGCGTTTGGTCCCTAACTTATTTTTTTAACTCGAAAGGTCCCTACAGTTTGTTTTTGTTACGCGCTTGATCCCTGTCTTACCAAAAAAACTATTTTGCCATTGATTTTTTAATTTATTTAAATAAACACACCCCAACCCCACTCCCTTCGCCTTATTTTACATACCCCACCATTTTTCCCTATTTAAATAATAGTATTTTTAGGTAATACAGGGACCAAACGCGTCACAAAAACAAACAGTAATGATCAAGCGCGTAACAAAAACAAACTGTAAGGAGCTTCTGAGTCAAAAAAATAAATTAGGGATCAAACGCATAAATCACCCCAAACCATAGGGACCATTCATGTAATTTACTATTTTTTTACACTTTAGTGAAAAGAAGATTAACATATATGAAAAAGGTTCCCAAAATCAAATACTGCACGTTTCAATCAAACCCCATTAGTTGATCATCGGTTTCTTGATGAACTTCGAAGATCCCGAATAATCTTCTGGTAAAGGAAGATCAAGTTCCGAGCAAACAAACTGGATTATCTCAGCTACCAAAGGCCCAAAAGAGAGCTTGTTTAGGGTCAACGCAATAGAAAAGCGGTTGTTTATGTCACAGTATCCCGTCGAACCACCGACACCTGCGTGACCAAACCCAATCAGCGAACCATCGATCATGTTAGCCTTCCAAAATCCAAGCCCAATTTTACTCTTCGGGAGGATTAAATCCTTATAATCTCCTCTTCCCAAGAACGCATCATGAATTTTTGATTTTGCGCTGGCGCTGCTAAAAATTTTAGTATCGATCTTGTCACTTGTGTTGCTGGTTTCTTGGATTTTGATGTAAGGATCGGATTTAGGGTTTTTGGTGAGGTTGTCCGTGCTTTCATCTTTCTGGTAATCGGAGATTTTCTTGGAAGGTAATGTGGGGTGGTGAGGGTGGCTTCCGAGGAGTGGGAGGGTGGAGGAATGGCGGGGAGGGACTGCACCACCATCCACGAGGGCGGCATAGTAGCGAGCCAATGCACGGGCTGAGAAGTGTCCGTTAATGGCTGGCAGTATCGCACGGCGGATATTGAGGGTGTTGGATAAGGGAATAAAGTCTGCAAGCATGTCAGGTGAGAGAGAGGAAGGCATGGCAAACTCAGACCTGAATTCACTGTTTTCACATAGAGCAGCGAACATATTGTATTCAGTTTTATCATACGTAAGACTTGCTAGACGAGATTCCACACCTGAATTCCACATAAAAACAAAAGTTTCTTATGAACTAATAGACATACGGTAGAATACAATTAAAGGGCTATTTGGTGTTCTCAACCCAAGTGGTTGAAGGTGTACAATAGAGAGTATGATTGTTGTTGTTCTAAATAAAAAGACATGGAAGAATACATAAAAGCGCCATTTTATCAAATTAACCACCTAATTTTATTCGGTAGTGATCAAACAATTATGGTTTTTGATCGTTTAAAAACTATTTCCTAATGTGAACGTCATGCAAAATATAGAAAAGCACGACACAATTTCATAATTTTATCGAGTTAATTAACCACTGAAACTATTATTTTTACCAATTTAGCCACCAAATTATTATTATAATAATCATAGAAGAGTACTTAGGTGGTTAAATCGATAAAATTCTGATAAGATCTTCTTTTTAAGTATTTTAATTACTGTTTTTTTTTGAAAATCGGGTAACCAAGAAAGGTGAGTTTTTAAATTATTATTTTTTAATGTTCAATAACTACAAGACTTAGTTGAGTGGCTACATTAATGGATAAATGGTGCAAGCCATTGGTATTCTGTTAGTTTTTTTGTGAATCTTACCAAGAGGAATCCCTATATAAAACTCGCCTTCGACGTTAAGTGGGCGAACAAAGGCTTCCTCAAGAATATCCTGAAACTTCTTCCCGGATGCATGCTTCATGTTCAAAATGTAAGGATCAATGAAAATAATGAAAAAAAAAGACAACGATATGTCATATCAATACCCTTCATGTTCAAGTCAAGAAGATGAAAAACACGACACGACAAGTTGTAGTGCTTTTCGCATGCATGAGACGAAGATAAGTCTCTAGTTCATGTAAAAGACATAAATGTCCTCCTCATCTGTATTATTGAAAATAGCCCAAAACTGGCCAGAAGATGTATGTAATTGCATACCTCAATAATCCCACCACAAAGCCAGCCATACGAAAGATAATGATAGAATTGTTCACGACCAGGTTCAGTCTCTGGTGCAACCATTGCAATTCGTTTTACACACTCATCCCAATCACATAACAACGCATGATTATCTTTAGAGATGTCCGCAAGAGCATTATGCAGCCCAGATGTATGATTAAGTACATGATGAATCTGCAAAAAAGAAAAGGAAATCTTATGTAAAAGTTACCTAAACCATAAACTATCTGTTGAGTTGAGAATTATGTTGTGATAGTCGGAAGCTTAAATGTGGAGGTCCAAAGTATCGTTATGAAGAAAGCTGTTTTGTTTTAATGACGGAGTAGTTGGTAGGACATATTATGCTCATTTGGTATAAAATTATCAAGTGGGCTTAAAATAGTGCTCCTAACTATTAGCGTAGGTTAGTGGGAGCAGTTTGTTTGTACTCATCACGTGTGTATGCCCATGTGTTGAATATGATTGGTCATGTACTACACTCTTATGTATGTATAAATATACATAGGTGTGCATCTTAGTTTTGAGTATCGGTTGTATTATTAGTGCTCATAATCTCTCTGATTATTGGAGCCTTTTTCATTCATGTACTCGTACTTTTGATCGATCAAAGAGTTTACAGAGTTATTTACATCATTTCATTCCGCATTTCTTGATTAGTCATCTTGTTATTTGATCTAACGCTATGATTTACCATTTTAGGGTTTTAGTACACAACACTACTAGATTAAGTGGTTGCCCACAAGGAGCCCAATCCAAATTTGAATTGAAACTCTCATACTGATAATCCGTTAACCCTTGCTTGTTTCTACAGAGATACCCTTGGAGACGTTTCACTAATGTTTGTTCTAGTGAAATCAGATTATAAAGATGATGTTTAAAAATTAGAGAAAAGAAACATTGGGAGATAGGGATAACCTTTATCTGATCTTTTCCATTTGTACCAAACTCCGGCCAAAATTTTGCAACATTTTCGTCAAGCTTCATTTTCCTATGATGAATATGCATGTTGGTTAATATTTACTTGCATGACAGGATCCCATACAGATCCCTTCATGGGTGCTAAATATATACAATTGACAAATATACCCTTTATCGGCTAGCCAATGCATCATTCCTGCTGTGACACCCTTAGTTGCAGAGAAAACAGGAAATAAGGTATCAGGCTGAACTGGACGAGGGTCATCTGCTCCCATGACTCCAGCTGCAGTATCAATGATCACTTTCCCGTCTTTGTAGGCACAAACCTAACAAACAACATGCAAATTTTTTTTCTTTTGTAAAATACAATAAAAAAAACCAATAAGTGATGTAGGCATAAAACACAGACTAATTCAAGCTTCTAGATAGTTATATAGCTTGCGCCAAATTGAAACTTCATGTTGCCGGTATAAACTATTATATGGGGCATTTCTTACAGGGGATAGGAGTTAACCGACTGCAAAATCTTTCTAGTGTTATCTATATGGGTGCTAGTAGTGGCACTGGCAACGCCTGCTTTTTCTAGTACGCAGTGCAAAAAATTTCGAAATTATTTTCTTCTACTATTGTGACACTAATAAAATTTCCTGTGACGCCCCTATTATGAAATCCTGCGTCCGCTGTTGCAAATTGTTTGGTGGGAGAAAAAGTTGCAAATTTTGTTCCCCTCCCTCAGTTCTCTTACAATGCATGCAAAATGCAATACAAGTAATATATACTAAACTAATCATATAGGGGACAAAACTAGCCGTGATTAGACATGATTTTGATGGTTATTCTCAATGATAAGGATAACGAGGGCATTTATGTATTTTGCGCAAACAAAAGGTCAAGAGTGAGTCCCTATCCCACATTTTCTAGTTAGGCAAACAATTGCAATCTTTTACAATATCTAGTTTTTTATGAAGTGTATTAACGTCTTTTGCGCAAAAGATGACGAGAAGGAGAGTATCAACGTTATTTTTGAGAATGAGGACAATAAGGGTATTAATGTCTTTTGCATAGATAAGATAAGAAATTGACAGTCTCTCTCCCATCATGTCTCACCTTCTTGGATGGGACATAATTACATTTTGTGAGACATTGGGACCTTCTCAATGAGAAGCCACTACCCTTACCAAGTGATGGCTACCTTGGCCATCTATCAATTGTAAATGTGACATTAAGGTATTATTTTTTTTGTTACATTGACTTCTAAAATTTTTTTGCACATAAAAGAGAGGTGTTATTGTGTCACTTTTCTGGGGTGAGAAAAATTAAAAAGGAAACTGTAATTTTTTTTCAAAGATGTACGCTTATGACAACACAAATTATAGTAAACCAATTATATTGGGGCAGTGGTATGCACCTGGATTCCAAGTATTTTATCAGCTTTCCCTAATTCGACCAAGAGACGCCTCAACTTGGTCTCTACTTCAGAATTTATTGGACTGTCATATAACCATTTCGTATTCGATGGTGGTCCGTTATTCATGTTGCTGAAACAGAGTAATAGCTTGTAAACAAGGATAGATCAAATACGATGAAAGAATCATTAACGAGTGGTTATAACCAAAAAATCTTACCTTTTTTAAGACAAATTTGGCAAAAGCTTTATTGATGATGGATTATGCTAACATTCCTCGAGGATGAAAGCCCTGAAACGATGCAAAATACATGACATGAGAGAAATGAACTTAGGAGAGGGGGTTAATTAAGGGTTTTAAGTAAGAAAACGACAAATTATAGAATATTTGGTAGGCATCCCCCAATTAGACCTACTCCGTTGACCAAGTAGACATACTCTATTGAAAAATCATTTAATTGATGTGCAAGATCAGTTGGTGAATACCACTTGGTGCTTGTTAATAATTTGTTATTTGATTGTAATTGTTTTGGCAAGGTCTGTACGTTTTTGTTCCGAATCTTTCATAGAGAATAATCACCAAGCATACCATTCAAATCCTACTTCTACTTTTTTCTTTTATTTTATTTATTTTATTATTTTTTTTTTAATTTTTAATTTTTATTTTATTGATCACCCGACTTTGAACCCCTTAGAAGAAAGAAACTTTTTCAACACTTGATAAATATAGGCCAAAAGCAGAGATTTGATAGTGATCATGAGTTCAAAGAGAGAGCTCAGAAGGCAGTAGTCAGTATGCAGGTCAATAACCAACTTTTTAGCATATTTTGTATTTTTTTGATATAAAATAATAATAATAATAAATTTAAAAAAAAAATAGGGTGGTGAGGAAAAATTTCGGAAAGCATGGGCACAGATCTGTGAGATAAGTCGAAAGGGTTATGAAAAAGTATATCAACACCTTGGAGGCCACTTAGAAGAAAATGTATTATTTTTATTTTTTAAAGACAAGCCCACTTTTTTTTTTCTCTTGATATAAAATTCGTTATATTTATTTCCATTATTTTCAGGGTGAAAGCTTTTATAATCCATACATTCCTGGGACTCTAGATTTGCTAAGGGAAAGGGGATTGATTGAAGAAAGTGAAGGAGCTCAAGTGATCTTCATTGAAGGAAAAAAGATCCCTCTTATTGTTGTGAAAAGAGATGGAGGTTTCAACTATGCTTCAACAGATCTTGCAGCTTTGTGGTTAGTTTTCTTTAAATCTGAGGGCATTTTCGTCTTTTTACACTATTATGAAACATTCTCTTTTTCATATCTAGGTATCGGCTTAATGAGGAAAAAGCTGAGTGGATTATATATGTGACTGATGTAGGCCAACGAGAGCACTTTGAAATGTTCTTCACTCTAAGTCAACTTTACACAGTGTTAGTTAGTACTACACTACTATAGGGGTAAAACGGTCAATAAAATTTTATTTTTTTCAGGCTGCTAAACGTGCAGGGTGGCTACCAAAAGATGAGAACAAATACCCGACAACTGAGGCGTCCGGTCGGAGAAACTAGTCTTGCGAGGGTAGCCGTAACCGACCAAGTTGCGATTAACCCACAACCACTTGTCTTGCTAGTTCTTCTTGGGTGCCTTCTGGTTAATAATGAACGCATGAATGCCCCGCCGTTGAGAGAAAGTATGAACGCCGTATTGGGTGGAGGAGTCAAATTAGTACTTAAAGGCCTAGAATTGAGGAAGCACTCCCAGGGCTCGACACGCCATTTCAAAACTGACTATCTTGTTGACAACATTTAGAGTCAGATAATCCATAGAAAATCCATATTGACGCATAATCTCGTCAAAGAAGTCGGTCTTCAGTAGCCTCAAGCCTGGCTCAAAGATCGGGATAGGAACCCCAACCTTACCCTCTGGCGGATGGGAAATAACCGCCCCCTTTCTAGGATATTGCTGTTAGGGTGTAAAGTTCTCATTGGATGTGGCTTACCCTCTTGTATGTGTAATGGGTTGAGTCTTTCCTATAAATAAGAAGTAAGTGACTCCCATTAAGTAAGACCCATTTTGGAGTGATTAGTCTTAGTGAGAGAAATATTCAATACTCACTTGTACTCTTACTATTCTAATGGAACTTAAAACTGATTTTATTTACTCCTTGTGTTCTTGATGTTTGCATGATTCACTAGATCTTTACTATTCCACACAAGTCATCATAATTGGAAGCTAAATTGACACAATGGGTCCCTGCAGAATTTGCAAAGTTGACAGTTATTAGCTAGTTTTCGAATTTCCTGCAACTCTCATCCAAAAATCAAAATTTTCACAAAATTTGGAAATTTTTTCTCGGCTTTTCGTGATTGTTTTTTGTGTAAGATTTTCGCGATTTCATTTTTGTCACACATCGAGGGGGAGATTCGTCAAGTTTATTTGTCTATCGCTTCTCATCCCTTATGGGTTTTATAATCACTTCTTGATTATAAAAAGGGGGAGAATGTAGAAATGGGTATTCGAAGCTTCTCGGGTATTCATTTGCAGATTTGAAGACCGATGTTACTTCAAGGGGGAGTTGGTCCTAATCACGCAAGCTTATTTGGAAATTGAAGCCGGGACATCTAATCCTAACTTTGAGGGAGAGAATGTTAGGGTTCAAAGTTCTCCTTGGATGTGGCTTACCCTCTAGTATGTGTAATGGACTGAGTCTTTCCTATAAATAGGAAGCGAGTGACTCCCATTAAGTAAGACCCATTTTGGAGTGATTACTTTTAGTGAGAGAAATATTCAATACCCACTTGTACTTTTACTATTCTAACGGAGCTTAAAACTGATTTTATTTGCTCCTTGTGTTCTTGATGTTTTCATGATTCAATAGATCTTTACTATTCCGCACATGTCATCATAATTAGGGTCACTACAATTGCACCTCGTGCTCGGGCAAAAAGCCAAATCGGGTTTGCAGGGTCTCAACCTCACCCGATGTTGGCTCAATTCCGGTATTTGGTGTCACAATTAATCCCGGTAAATAAGAAAAAGATGGAAGAAACTGTGACATCCCGGAATTTAGGTCAAAGATTGTGAACGGTCAAGTTCACAGTAAGTCTCTTGATAAATTGACTCATTGAGTTTTAGTGCATCTAATATAAAATAAATGAGTTATTCCAACTATTATAAGATACCAGATGGTATCTTACTTCCAAATGTTTAATTTGACAAATAAATCAAACAGCTCAAACGACAACCTTAGGAGTGCGCCTGAAAAACTGAAATATCATATTAAGCCGTTGTGAGAAAAACAAATACTCTAGTCTCGTAGAACTCGTTTCCCTGTTTTCGAAAATATAAAGAACGTCCAAAATGGAGTTCGTATGCGAAAGATACGACCGTTTTAAGAATCGAAAACCAGTAAAATACTGATTTTCTTAGAAACTATCAAAAACCGTTTCTAACCATTAAAGGACTTGCACACCTCGAATAGAAATTCTGAAAGCATTTTTGAATTTAGGCTATTGCCTAATATTTAATTTCATATCTGAAATATTTTTGATAAAAATATCTATAAAAGTTGAAAAATCAGACGTTTTCAGATTTATTAACCGCGAAACATGAAAATATTGATTTCGACATGATTTATATGATTGGTGATGTGTTTCGGAAAAATATAAAAATCCAAACCAGTTAAAATGAATTTTAACAATGAAAATACTCTTATAATTTTTAATTTAAGAAACCAATGTTTAACAAATTAATGATTCTACATTTTCCAAGGTATTAGCTTAATTTTATACATAGTTATTACATAAATTATGTAACAAACTCATAATAAAAGAAAGATAGACTATATTTATCAAGACATGATTTGTAAAAGTTAAGTATACATACATGTGTATACTAATAAGATTTGTCTAATCAAATATATATCCTCAAATATATGTCCATTTATGGATAAAAGAAAACAAGTTAAATATATTATATTTCTCCACATTCCAATTTAACCAATGCATACATAAAGTACATAGAAAAATTATTTAATTACAAATTATATGCATATTTCATAAAGAACCAAATATATAATACAAAAATAATAATAATAATAATAATAAAATAAAATAAAATAAAACAATTACAATACTGATCTTACACTTATTTTACAAATTTGATTATACAATTATTGTACAACAAAATTGATCACTCGTGTGCAAGTGCAAGTGCTTTTCACCTCTTCCTGAACACTCAAATTACACTTCACCTTTCTCCTTTCCTCCCCACGTTTTCCTTTCACCTGCATTACAACTCACACACAGTTCACAGGCAGGTAAGGAAAGCACTGTATGGTATTGCTTCTACTCATCAAATACTAATTCACAAACAATCAAACAAAAATAAAACCCTTACAGAGAAAAATTGATCGATCCTTTTGTATCTGCTTGCACCTTCATTCCCAACCAAGAACACCTCCAAATGGAAGTTTGATCATAAGTATTCTTTCCGGTCGATTTCACAATCCCGATTGTACTTCTCTGTCAAATGAAACAACAAAACAATTGTTTCTCCCTTCTTCAATTTCTTTGAATCACCCAACCCAAACAACCTAACGATTTCTGTCAACAACCAAACCCAAACATTTTTCCCTACATCGATTCCTATCAAAATAACCATCCCATTCATCAATTTTCTATCAAAATAATCAAGAACAAACATCTCAAATACCCCCCATCGATTTCAATCCACAACAGAAAAGAGAAAAAGAACTTTCTTTTACCTGTTAGCCACCGTCGACTGTTGCTGTTGTGGGTTGTTTCCGGTCTACTGCAGCCAGAGAAGAGGAAGGAAGCGGTGATGCTACCGCCGATCGCTGCTACCTGGTCTCCACTGGGTTTTTCTGCCCCGGTGGCTGCCCTCCTTACGATCTGATAAGAAATACCACAAACATCCCCACTAATGGTCGTTTTCCCTTCTTGTTTCTCCCATCTCGACCAGTCAAAGGATCGAGGATCTGATTTCCCCTCAAAACATGACTACTGGCGACGAAGGAAAGGGAAGAAGAGCGCATCGGAGATGCTGATTGTCGCCACCCACGTCGATGGCTGCAACTCCTTCCTCCCTCGTTCTTTCTGACAATCAACAACAGCCAAACACCCATAGAACCATCGACCACCGCACCTGCCATCGCTTTCTTCTTCCTTCCCCAACCAAGCCAAACATTGGTGGTGCCATACGTGGGATCGACGATTGCTACCGAGTTTGGTTATACTTATCCTTTCTCGAATCAGACGATGGATCAAAGACCCCACCCCGATTGTCGCCTTCGATTTCCCTCGTGTTCCCCTCTCGTTCGGCCGCATTCGTTCTATTGCCCGACTGCCTCTGTTTTCCTTCGTGGCTTCAATTGGGTTGGATCGTATCCCTTACCCGATCACACAAATAAACAAGGGGTAAGAGCCTGATCCTTTTTGTAAACGGATCCACTTTGTGTGGATCGGTCATGGAGCCCCGATAAAACAAATGGGTTTTGATTTTGACCCGGTCAAAGCTAAATCAAACTTGTATTTAAATTAAACAGAATTGGTCCCTTCCCCAAAAAAACCTAATGAATTAAGTCCTAATACCCTAAAAACAGTTTCAAATGCACATGTTTAACCCCTGTCTTGAGAATAATTCTCAATATCAGTCCCTGAAGTATGATTTTGGCAAAATCAAACCCTAGAGTTTATTCATTTTAAGAAAGACCACCGTATACTTAATAATTAATACCAAAACTACCATTTGGTTTATTAGGAAATACAAATATACTCGGAGATTCGTCTTACGAACGAGGAATGTCACGTAACAAATCTTATGACAAGTTTCCCAAAGGAATCCGAATACCGTATGAATCGAACTCACGCTTCAAGGGTGAGTGCTTACGGCCCCTTTTTAATATTTCAATTACTTCGGGGGGGGGGGGGGGGGGGGGGGGGAATACATGTGCCAATATATTTTGTTTATACATACAAATTACCTTTTTATGCGAAAAGCCTAGTTTATAAAAATATTATTATTTAATAACTTACTATATTGTTACCAATAAATTAGATTATATTTTTCGTATACGTATTACGATTATTTTATTGTTTTATTGTGAAATTACCATTTCACACAATAGATACTACATGATACAAAATTTTATGATTTTTATATTATAACAAGTACAAGTTTTATGATTTTTATATTATAACAAGTACGTTATGAAACTGTGCAGTATTTTAATGGTTCAAGATATTACTATACATGTATATTTATATGTTTATATGCATACTACCAGTTTAAAGTATTTCAAAGTTTCAAGACTTCTATACATGAATACTTTTATGCATAAGGCTTTACACACATATACAAGTTTAAAGTATTTCAAAGTTTCAAGACTTCTATACATGAATACTTTTATGCATAAGGCTTTACACACATATACAAGTTTAAAGTATTTAAACACATATACAAGTTTAAAGTTTAAAGTATTACACACATATACAAGTTTCAAGACTTCTATACATGAATACTTTTATACAAAAGGCTTTACACACTTATACAAGATCGTTATGTTGAAATACACATCTCTATAAAAGCGAGTAATTTATACTTTTATAAATACGTCAATCATATTCGGCTTTTACAAATGCTATACTACAAAATTCATTATGCCCGGTACTTAACTATAATTAAGTTAGGGCTGAGAGTTATTCACAAACTTTTCGTTAATGGTTTTTGAGTGAGACGCTACTATTCATTAGCTGAGTTTAATCACTTAGCCTGCCCCACACTGCTATAATCGTTAATCTTCGGAGCGAGGTACATATGTATAGATCTATATGGGGTCGACAACCCCACCTGCGGTTGCTAGCTACAACCATCGACTGATCAATCGTAGCAGGTGATATGTGTCTACGATCGTTACTACGACGTCCAATGAAGCGTCGTAGGGAGGGGTACTTTTCGTCCATAGCTCGATTATAGAACTCACTAAAAACATTAACACGAATTTCTCTCTCTTACTACAACCATAGGTTTAGTTGCCTTCAAGTATATTTTTTTAAGTATGGAAATTACTTATACAAAGCATTCATTTTGACTTTTAAGAAGTCATTACAAATACATTTTTAAGTACGGAAATTACTTATACAAAGCATTCATTTTGACTTTTAAGAAGTCATTACAAGTGCATTTTAAGTATGAAAATTACTTATACAAAGCATTCATTTTGACTTTCAAGGAGTTATTACAAGTACATGTTAAAAGCATGAATTTATTCATATCAAAATACATTCTTGGCTTTTAAAGACTCTTTGCAAATACCGTTTTTAACGATCGTTATACATACAAAGATAATACTTTTTAGACTTATTAAAAGTATTAATGCGTTAGCAGAAAACCTGTGACACTCACCAACCTTTGTGTTGACTTTTAAAACTACATGTATTCTCAGGAAAACACTAAACAGACATTCAACACAGATTGGATTACAGGTGACCAAGTTTATTTGTTGTTGTATCATATGCCTACCTGTTAAGGCAATTCATGTATTATTATTATTTGTAAAACCTTGTATTCAAATATCAAGATGGAACATGAATGCTATTTTGTTTATTGTTGTACTTATGCTGTATATTCAATTTGCCTGTGATCCATGAACTTAGTCACACAGCCCGACGTGTTCCGCCGCCTCGGCCGGGGGTGTGACAGAAACGATAAGCAGAGAAAAGATAGAGGTAGTCGAAGAATGGGAAACATAGAAAAGAAATCCGTCTCCGATAAAGAAAGACTTATGTGACAACCAAAATCTTTTTCCGTTACTGTTAGCCGATTTCCGTTAATAAAATTTGAATTTTATTGAGTTCCGTCAAATTCCTTTGGTTTGAAAATCATTTAGTTATATAATTGAATTTTATATATAAGAGTCGAAACCAAAATCACGCGAAAAACCCGAGTATCCTTTGAAAAATCGATAGTTTTCGGCCTGAGTGGAGTTCACGGCCGTAAACCCATTTACGGCCGTAAACCCGTTTACGGCCAGTGTCAGGTGGCCCCACCACCGACCATACCCCCCTAGCCTATATATACAGGACTCCCACCTTAATTTGAACTTTCTTAGCCGGAAACTCTCTCATTCTCTCTCTACCTCTCAACCGTAAACATCAGAAAACCCTCTTTTCTTCCGAAAAATCATCAAGAAGCACCTTTGGGAGTTGTTTTGGAGCAGCTAAAACACGTTTTTCATCGAATCCAACATCATTGTTCTTGAGTTTACATCCGTACACCCTTCAAATATTCAAAGACCGCAAACTGTTTACGGCCGTACACCCTTCAAATCTTCATAGATTCCTCAAGAACACTGTTCACGGCCGTAAACCCATCAAGGGACTGTTCACGGCCGAGAACAGTTCACCGCCGAAAACCCTTCATGGCCGCAAACTCCTTCACACCGTGAATCTTGGCTGCAAACCCGTTTTTCCGATTCAATTGAGTCCCGGTAACATTCCTAAACTGAAAGCAAGTGCATTTCCAACACTATAAATAATGGTTTCACTAATAAAATACATATATGTATTAATTGTATTAGGATCCCGTTAAGTGCTGTGTACATCAACTCGAGGGTCTTCGCTCCCAGTTTTCGCTGCCCGACTATTCACACAACTAATAATGAGTTCATACCCCTATGCTTTTATGGTTTTAAATGTTTTCAGGGGTGATTACAAGCCAAACACAAATGATTTTGTGCATTTATACAAAAGGATTTCAACACATTTAAAACTGATGCAATTGATACAATCTTATAGTTTCCACACGTTTATAAAATATTTAGATATTTTATTCCCTTTTGTAACGTGCTGAACATAATAGACTTTTTCAATCTACAGTCGAAATTGCATAGTTTTCAGATCAATACGTAAACCAAGTACACATCATACATGCAAACTATAATAGGTATAGTTGGGTTTTCAATACACAGTTTTACGAATTCAGAGTTTTACATAGCAAAACATATAAACTATGACAGATTTAGTTTATGATATACATTACTACAAGAGTACAACATATAATAATTATTTAAGTATAATTATTACCTTGTACAGTATACACACGGGTTTAAATACAGTAGATCAATACAGAACTGCATGTAAACTAGTTAATACGGGATTATGAGACAACACTTCAATTGTACCTTTCGGGGTACAGGCTAAATCCTATCAAAGTGTAACCAGAGTCTCCTGGAGGGAGAGAGTGGGATTTGTGAATAGATCTATTCGGGACTGACAATCCCACACCTGAACTGCTAGCTACAGTTAGGCAGGCATGCCTGGGGTGACAAATGTCATTTGTCCGACACTTGAAGAACGTCGTAAAGGTCACTAGGTCACATCAAGCATGGTTATACGACTCACAATAGTATAAACTGACCTTATTGTTTACGGGATTTCATTCTTCTTTAGTTTTATTTTATTAATAAAACTAGTTCATAATACAACTGGAGAATTTCAGGGATTTCAACTCATAGTTTTATTATAAGTAATGAAACTACTATACATACTGGTGGTAACCAGGGTCTTCATACAAAGGGTTTTCATTCAAAAAAATGTTATACAATACAGTTGGTGGTAATCAGACGTACAAATTAATACATTATACACTACTACAGAACATAGTAATAAACATATATGTTAGAAAATATTGGATTTTCTTGGGAAGCATACAAACATTTTACAGATTCAATGACAGGGTTTTTCATTACAAAAACATGCTTACGAACTCACCAGCTTTATGCTGATACTCTTTCAAAACTGCTTGTATTCTCAGGAAATCAGTAGATAGGTACCTCGCCCAGATTTTGAGAAGACGGAGCGTATAGAGTCACGTCTTTTACTTTAGGTTATGCTTTTGATGTATAAAAACATGAATCAAACAGATGTAAATACCTTTATATATATATATATATATATATATATATATATATATATATATATATATATATTCAATGTAATGGTTGCGTTTACTTGATTACTATGATGCAATTGTTATGATACTACATATGATGTCATCCACCCCCGAACGTTTCCGCCGTTCCGGTTTAGGGGTGTGACAACTTAAGTGCAAAGAAGGAAAATCGAACAGTTATAAAGATCAAACCGTCTGCACAGACAGCTCCGTCACATTAGTGGACGTCAGAGCCATCCCCGCCGAACACGTGTCTTGATCTAAGACTAGAACAACTTAGCTACCCCAGGCTAACACTGACGTTTACTAGCCTAGGGGACTTGTTAATGTATCCTCCTAGGAATACGTCAAAGATAACAAAACATTTATCTAAAGGACGACCTAGATTACGGTCTCCATCCAACATGAGTGATTAGGCCAGGGCTCTCACCCTTGCCCTCGTAGCCTCGCACTCAGACCCCGACGCTCCAGTGCCAAGGTCCAATCCAGGACAAGAAACTCCGGTCTAAAATAAGCCAAAATAGTACTGGCCACTCCACAGAGCGACAAGTGTAGCATCCAGGGAGCTGTCCTCTGTTAGTTTTGCATCAATAACAGATAACCGCTAGTGGTGCATGATCCGCCAATAGGAATCCTCTGCGTCCTGTTTGTCCAGACGGTACAAAAGATTCTGTCGGGATCACGCATAGAGGACAACATGTATAAAAGAAACCCTTCTTCTCCGAAAGAGGGGATCGCCTCATTCTCTTTTCGAAACCTAAACCTAATTCTCTCATACAACCACTAACTAGACCGTCAGATCTTCATTCCGGGACCACCTCCTGGACGATGGCTAACGTTGGTTCTTTCTTTGCTGTGATTCTTAGGCTTAACCTAGGCAAATCTATTGCGGGACGATGTTAAGCTCGAAGAACATATCACAACAAGTAACATTTATCCTTTTTTCTCCACTCAAGCATGCATATTATGTACACATGTTAATAAGATAATTTTAAAAAAGTAATAATGAAAGTAAGTTGATATATTAGAAAGACAATTGAAAGCACATTTCTAATTATTTCATTTAGCCCCCTGGTTGGTCTAAATGAAAGAAATGACAATGTATTTTCATTTGTTTTTCTAATATAACATCTTACTATCAATTGTTTTTCTAAATTTTTTTTAATTGTTTTTTTCTTATTTTGAAGTATAATGCTATAGTGCAAGAAATAACATATGTGTGTGTATGGTTTGTGATTGTGTTTATGCATGTGACTATTTGTATGTGGTTTTAGTAGGGGAGTGTGGCTATGGGAAGGGAAAAGGAGGGATATATTGTTTATTTTGAAGAAGACAATGAATCGATGTGCATGTAACTATATATGTGTGTGTTTGTGTCAGGTGAGGGGTATATTGGTCATAAATTATAAATCACAATTCAGGGGAGTGTGAGCCATGAACCATGATCACACATGAAAAATAAAAAATAATATGCTAGGAGTGGTAGGTAAATACAGCTGAAGAGATAAAGATGAAGCATCTGTAAAACAAAGATTTACTGAAATAATTTTAACCTCTTCCAATACAATTTCCCATATGGCCTAACCTCTATGTGCTTTACATTTTATGGCTTTGATCCAAATACAATTTATTTTGTTTTTCTTTTTTCCTTTTTTTTAAAATTTTTGGTTTAAACATGTAATCAGTGAAGTAAAGAGTCTGTACATGTCATTAAAGTTTTATTTGTTTCTAAACTTGTTTTTACCCTCTTTTTATTAGTTCAGTTTTGTTTCTGAGTTACAAGCCCATTTAGTTGATTGGCAGGAAAATTTTGTTTGAGAATATGCTAAAAAACATTACTTATGCATGAAGTTAAACCTTTACTATAAGGCCATCCATAATATCCACTACTAACCACTATAGTGGTAGGTGCCACATCATCACCATATCCAACCACTAAACCTATAATATACCTACCACTAAAACACCACTCCACATTATTATTATTTTTTTAAATTCAAAAATACAATAAAAACATAGATTTTTTTAACTTGTTTTTCATTCAATAAAAACGTTATATTAATTAATAAAACTACATTACTTAAAAAAACTAGAATAAGAAAAAAAACAAACAAACATAAAAACTCAACAACCCGTGCTAAAAATTCAATCGTTCCGGGTACAAACCGTGACAATTGATCATCATTAAACGAACAGTGTTAACAATCACTATTGTAATAAGACCTAATGTGTAATAAAGATATCATTTTGTTGTTTATAGGATATTGTACTTTGAAATACGTCCAAAATATCAATTAAGTCTTGGACTGACATGAATCCCTGATAAACAAACAGTTTTAATATACAGAAGGAATGGATTAGTACATATGATTAAAAGAGATATATGTATTAAACATTATTATGGGGTATCAATAGGTTCATCACATATTCCTTGAAAATAGGAAAATTTGGAAATAAAGAATGCCGAAAATGGAGTTTGTATGCAAAAGATACGACCATTTTAAGAATATGAACAACTGGGTAACAGCTCACCACTGATAGGTGTCAAAACACGAGATTCCAATGAATTACGAGACGTCTTAGGAAATGAGTTTTCATTACCGATCAATTTTCCTATGACTCTCATTTAGTTTAGGAATTTATCATGTTCCTAATTTTTTCTGCCCGAAAATATCCCGAGTTGTTGTAGATAAGGTTGAACGGTTAAGGTTTGCCTTTTTCACCAAGTAAACTTCGGATGATCTGTAGGGTCATTTCCAAGTTTCATATCGAAAAGTTAGTTTTATATTATGAATTATGTTTTGATGTAGTATTTGATTTAAGAAAAAACTTTTCCGT